CAGGAGGTGGTTGGACAGCAGCAGTTGCTGGGAGCAGAGGGTGTTTCTGATCAGCACCACAGGAGCTGAGCCCAGGGGCTGCTCCTCAAGGCTGAGGCCTCACAAGCACAGATCAGAGCCCAGAGCGGCCTGGAAAGGGGCTGGGGATGCAGCAGAACAGGGAGGGTGATCCTGTGTGTATTTATTGATCAGGAGACTCAAGGAATCTCTCAGCCACTGTCCCAGCGTCCTCCAGCAGTGCAGTGGCAGAAATCAACACACTCAGAGTTCTGTGTCCATGGCAGGATCATTGCTGTGGGCAGTGTTTTCTTCTGGCTCCTCAAACACCCTCTGGACAGAGAGCTGGAGAGACCCCACAGAGCAGGGCCTCCAGCACCTTCCAACCAGGATGTAGATGAAGGGTTTGATGCCGCTGTGGATGCAGGTGAGCAGGAAAAAAACTGGGAGAGCGTAATGGTGTAGCTGAGCTCCTGCAGGAAATTGCAGAGACTGAGGGGCAGGGACAAGAGCACAATGAAGGAGATAACAATGTCCAGCTTCTTGTCTTGCTGCTGCTGGGAGCCAGGCTTGAAATGAGTTAAGAGGATTGTGCTGGAAATGAGCATGGAGGGAGCACAGAGGAGGTGGTTGGAGATGTATATTAAGCTGAGAAACACCCAGCAGTGCTCAGATGGCTGGAACATGCACAGGGAAAGTGTCATGGCAAAGACAATTACAAGAGTGATGAAGAAGGCCCTGAGCAGGGCAAGCATGACCTTTAACAGCTGCTGGGGATGGTGGCAGCAGAGCCAGAGCAGGCAGTGGATGGACATGCACCTCTTGATGCTGATGAATGTCAGTGTGCAGAGCCACAAGCTGTAAGACAACCGTGACATCCAGGAAAGGAACCTTATGTGTGACAAGGGCATGATAATAGAACAGGACACGTCCCCCACCAGGAAGAGCAGAGTGGAGGGCAAGAGAATGAGGCGGAAGAAGAAGTCAAGAAGAGCCAGCATGAGGATGTAAAGGATGGTACTGTTCCTGGATGAAGTGAGGGACCCAAGGAGCCAGAGCACAGCCCCTTTACCAGCCCGCCCACAGAGGCAGATGAGCAGGGTCACACTGTGTATGGCCACTCTGGTGACATCTGTCTCACACAGATCATCTCCTTCAGTGGGTGAGGCAGGAGATCGGAACGCAGTGGTCACCTCCATGGATGGACGCTGGGCAGGCAGTGGGAGGTGGCTCTGGCTGTGGTCAGAGTGGATGGGCAGTCAGGGCTTGGAGAATCCAGGGATGGACCATGTGGCTCCTCAGCAGCTCCCTGCAGTGGGAAGGGTTCAGTGGGGAGGAGCGAGATGTGCAGGGAATGAAGGCAAAAGAACTTGTGGGGTGGGAGAGGGAGTGTTGGGCTGTTTGGCAGAGGATGCAGAAGCAAAGCTCAGGGCAGAGGAGGGGGGAGCTGGGGAGGGCCCTGCGGTCACCAGGAGAGGGTGTCAGAAATAGAGCAGCTGCTGCAGGAGAGGAAGGTGGGGTAGGGAGGAAGGCAAACATTCCACTGACCTGTTCCCTGTGGGGCAGCAGCAGGCAAAGGGGTCTGTGCAGATCAGCGGCACTTCCTAGTCCCTCTTGCCCCTTTGGGATCCATGTCCTAAAGCGGCTCCTGCCAGGTCAGGGACAGAAGGAGAAAGTGCCCAGGTGAAGGCAGCCCAGGATTTTCCCACTCCTGTTCCTCTCTGTGCCCTGTCCTGGAGTTTCTCCCCAGGGCTTGGTGCAGTCCCAGGTGAGTGGGAAATTGCAGCTTTTGCTATGTCAGAATTTCACGTCCCCAGAGACCTTTGTCTTGGGGTTTTTACACTAGAGAGGGAGTGTTTTTTGTTTAAAGCTCCAACTGAAATATTTTGCAAATACCTCTTAGTTTCCTCCTGATGAGAAACATTTCTTCCCTGCAGAATGTCCCTTTCTCCAACTTCTTTCCCTCTTCTGACAGATTTCTACCATTCTTCATTTCACTTCCCAGAGGGGTCATTGTCCCTCCACCAGCAGAGGGATGCTGGTGGTGCTGATGGCAATGAATTGCTGCTGGCAGTGCTGGCAGTGTTGTTGAAGCATCTGGCTGCTTGTCAGAAACTGCTCCCATTCTGTGAAGAGCTCCAGAACCATTGCCAAAGCCTCCCCTGGGCTCATGGGATCACCCCTGGGCCATGGATTCCCATTCCTGTCATGGCAGTGCAGCCTCACGCAGCCCAAGGGAAGGACAGCACTCAGTTGCTTGCAGCCAGGCTATCAGCACTTGGAGCCCACCCTAATTACTGCCAATCCCCTTAATGATGCAATGAAAGCTATCAGGGACCAGGGTGCTGTGAACTCCCTGCCAGTCCTTCACCAGAGCTGCTCCTGCTCCTCCTCAGTCCTGGGAACTCTTGGGGATATTTTGGTGGTTGTCTGATCCCAGACTGTGGTTCTGCCAGTAGGGATACTTTCCACTATGCCAGGTTGCTCCAAACTCCATCCAGTCTGGCCTTGGACACTTCCAGGGATCCAGGCACAGTCACAGCCTCACAGGGTAGCCTGTGCCAGGGCCTTAGCACCCTCACAAGGAAGGATTTCTGTCACAGACATTTTTTCATAGAAATCCTTTCTTTCACATTTGTCCATCTTCTGGGAAGCAGAGCCCCAGAAGAAGAATGTAAACAATTGTTATCAGCTGCTGTGAAATGTAGCAGGTGCCCCTGTGATTGGCTCATCTTCCATGTTTCCAATTGGGGGCCAATCACAGAAGCAAGCTCGGGGACAGATTCCCTGGAGACAGAACTTTGTTATTCATTCTTTCCATTCTATTCTTAGCTTAGCAGCTCTCTGCAACTTCTCTTCTTTTCTTTTTAGTATAGTTATAATGTATTATATATCATATATGAATAAATCAAGCCTTCTGATCAAGAAACAAGATTCTCATTCTTCTCTCACCACAGTGACCGTCTAAGGTCACTGTAATAGATTTCTTCCCAATATCCAATCTGACCCCACCCTCTGTCAGTGGGAAGCCATTCCCCCTTGTCCTGTCACTCCATGCCCTTGTCCAAAGTCCCTCTCCAACTCTCCTGGAGCCCCATCAGCTCCTGGATCATGAAGAGTTTGCCCTTGAAAGGATTGGGCTGGTGAGGGGATGTTAGATTCCATAGCTGGGGACACAAACACGGTGTCAGCAGGAAGAGAGGTGACAGCTCTGGTCCCAGAGCCGGCAGTTTCCAGGAGGAGCATCCCAGATCCCTGAGGCACATGTCAGCCTGGGTAGGAATCATCTCACTTCAGCTTTTGAGGAATTCCTTGGAATTTACTGTAGGCTGCTGTCTGACTGCCAAGAGAGTATAGAGGATAACTCAGATAAGACCTGTAACTTTCTAAGGATTAAAGCCACGGTGTCATCGATGAAGAGAGATGGGGAGACTGACTCGGTGATCAGAATCCAATCTTATTGGGGGATACAAACGTTTATATAGTATTTCAGAGACACTAGTAATGTATACTACAATTATTAGGTTAAAATCACATACACAACCTTATGCATATAACAACATCTCTTGCTTGCAGAGTTTAAGGGGATTTTCATTTTCCGGTAAACCTGCCTGATTTATTCTTTTTGCAATCTAGGTCTAATTTTCAAAGTTCTATTTGCTTTTGCCCAGGCATCCTGTTCTCAAATCTCTTATGTTAACCGGGTACAAAGTCCATCATCTGTCTTGTGTCTCCCAACATTACAACACCATGGGAGTAGCATGTATTTGCCTCTTCTCAGAAGAAATTACCTTGCTCAACTCCTAAATCATCCCTCTGCTCTGTGCCAGTGCTCCAGCTCATGCATAGAACTTATTATGTTATGAATCCTCTTGCAAACTGTATGGTGAAGGTGAAATACCACTGAACTTGCAGTATAACAGGGGGAAAACTAGATTTGAAACAGAAATCAAAGTTTAACTGAGAATATGTGTTGCAGGGCCCTAAGGATCACCCTCAAGAATGAGAGGGGGCAAGTACAGGCTGTTCAAAAGACAAGATTTCAGGATTGAGGTTGCTATAAAATGGAATAGAAGCTGAGATGGAGCCCAAGTGCTTTGGGCACAGGTGTGGTTGCTGCGGCTCTCTCCCATTGCTCATTTGCCAGGCAGAGGGAAGAGCAGCTGAGGAGCAGAGCCCTGAGCCCGTGGCAGGCTCTGAGGCAGCTGCCTGTGTGTGAGAGCCCTGGAGAACAC